GTAGTGAAGCGATTTTGTTCATATTTGGTATGTGAATACTGTAAGCATGGCACACTGTCTAATGACACTTTTGGTAGAAGGCGGTCATTTTTCAAAATGGATGCCATTTTAACGTATTTTACTATATCTCGAAAAGTAGTGGAGCAATTTTGTTTATATTTGGTATGTGAATACTATAAGCATGGCACACTGTCTAATTGGTAGAAGGTGGCCATTTTGAAAAATGGCCGCCATTTTAACATATTTTTCTATAACTTGAAAAGTAGTGGAGCGATTTTGTTTCAGATTTATTTTTTATTTTCAGATGGTCTAATGACACTTTTGGTAGAAGGCGGCCATTTTGAAAATTGCTGCCATTTTTGCTATATCCTTTGTTTGTAAAAATGCCATCCATATCTGTTCGATGGGATTCGCTACGCTTTGGCGTTGCCGTTGTTCTGGTTAGTATTCTATTCTCCATACAAGTAAAAATTAGATATTGCATGATAGGAGGAACATGGTGCATGGTCTTAGACCTCAAAACCCAGCTCCTCTATAGCTACATTGGTCCTCAATGCTGACTCTTGGGTAGGCAGGTTATCAAAGTGGATGATTGGCTTCAAATTGGGTCTTTTCAAACACTCAACCGTGAATTGTGCAGACTGTTATACAAAGTGATATATGATGAAATTGAATAAATATTATAATTATGAAATCACACTTGAATCTGAGTTGTAGAGCAACACCATTACAACAAAGCAACTAATAAAACAACCAAGAAATGTTGTATTGTAATAAGTGAATTGGATACTGTCTTTAGCAATTCAAAAATGTTAGATACCAGTAATTTTCATGGAAAAGTTGCCCCGGGTATTGTAATGTCATGTTACTATAGTAACCATAACTCTCCTCGCATTTTATTATTTTTCTTGAAACTTTCTAGTTTTAGTTGCAATACTTCAAAGTACATTTTGTAAAAATTGGAAGATGCTTGGTGCAGAATTGACAAAATGCCAGCACCAGTCCTGTTACTTTTGGAACACCCTGTATTCTGACATTTGTCAGATTCATGATTATTTGTTTTGTGGGATTCACTACTCCGTGGAGTTGCTGTTTTCAAGTTTGTCATTTATCTTATTTGTGCTTCAGAAAATTTAAAATAGATAGCGAACAGGAGATGGCTATATTATACTGAAATATTATATTATGACATTTGCCAGATTCATGATTAATTTGTTCGGTGGGATTTGCTACTTCATGGTGTTGCCGTTTTCTAGCTGAAATTAGATAAGAAATTGTGATTTGTAATTTTTGTAATAACAGAAATACTCCTTGTTTAAATGGCAATATGATATATGGTTGTTGTTGAAATTAGTTAAAGCCAGTCATTTCAAACTCCTTGGAAAAGTATTTTTTGTGAATAAAGCAAAGATATTGGTGTGAACAGAGGTTTTTGCTTGTACTTATTGTAGATAGTGAAAATGGTCATAACTTTATTGAATTTTTAAAAAATCTACTACCTTTGAATACAAGAAGCTGTATTGATAGGAATTTCTCAGTGGTATATACTGTACTCTTATGAAGATCATGGACCTATACAAGGGTCTAGATAGGTTGAAAAAGTTATTAGCCACAATATTTCTTATATTTTCACAAAAAACATATTTTACAGATTATGTAGATTGTATTCTTGATAGTCTTTTTTATGGATTTCACCCCTTGACATCAAATATTCCGAGTATCACTTTGACTTCCATATTTCAAACAAATTCCACACGTCATCTTTCAGTCGTTGTATTTAAGGATGTTCCCTGGACGAAGTTGAAAACGATGAACACCAACCCCTAATTTTTCTTTTCAAAATGTGAAGTACATAGCATAACTAAGTGTTTCTGTGAGTTTAAGAAAAAGTTAAATATTCAAAAGTGTGTTTTGGGGTGAAAACCTGATTTTTAACATGGGTTTCAATGAGAAAGTGCCACGCCCACTTTTGTCAAATATTGACACTTTAGAGGCCTCTTGCTCAGAAAAAAGCACACTAACATATGGTTTTTAAAGTTTTAATATTCTTTGTTGCCCGTGAGAATCCCAGAAAACCATTTTTGAGAAAAAGTTAAATACTATTGAATATTTTCCTATCTGACCAGGGAACATCCTTAAGCCAAGGCCGCCCTGCCTTCCAGCCTGGCCGGAAAGACCTCAATGGTCCCGGCATAATTTTGAAAATAAGTTTTAGCGTCTCAATTGATTCATCAAAATACCGAACGCAACAGGTCTTGTGAAGGTGCCCGTGTTAAATTTCCATTGAAACAAAAATAATTGTGGCGTCTCATGGGTGAAATTACAAAAATTACGAAAGTTGAAAATGAAGAATCCCCGATAATTTATCTGTTTCTCAAGTATAGGTTCTGTACAAAGATCTTCGCCACCTTTGCGAATATTTAGATCAAGATCTTCGCCAGGTGCTAAAAATATTCGCAATTGGTGAATGGCGACAGCTTATCTAGACCTCTGGACCTATATTTCTCAGTATTGAGATCTATGTTAAGATTCACTCAATTTTACCCGTTATGACATCATTTAAGCCTTGGGATTACTTTCAGTGACGTCCTTTGTGGCCTTTTGATACATATTATGACTTCATTTTCTCAAATTAATGAGGCAATATGCAATACAATTGTAATTATAGCAGATACCAATTATTACGTCTAATTGGTGAGAAATTAAAATTGTGAAGTATTAATATTCTATCTAGTCTTGTTTCAAGACTCTGCCCCCCCCCCCCCCCCCCCCCCCTATCTACTTCAACAACATGGCATTATAGTCAGTACCAAGGCACAAGTGCTTCCCCTGGATCACCGGAAGCAAGACTATATTCTATCCTATAATACTTGATATCCCCAGCATTAAAGCAAGCTGAAGCTGTACCCTCTTGAGATATTTAGGAAAGGACTGCACCCACATCATCGATTCCCACGCTCAGTCACTTCATTCTACCCCATGGGCTCATATGATAAACTTGAGACCCAAGTAATATGTATCATTAGCAAAAATGCTTCGCGGGTCATGCAGGCTTGATCGTGTGCAAATCAGAATTGAGGATCTTTATTCAAATTAGGCCCCAGAATCAGTATCCATCAGATTGAATGTTTGAATATGGTGAATCTCATCCCTGATTGGTCAAAATCATAATGTGATAAGTCAAGTCAGGCCCCTTCCTATAGATAATTATATTCATGACAGTAAATCAGTGGGAGGGTTGTTTATTTAGATAATAAACAATAAATTGCGGAATTCTCAAGGTGAGGATTGGTACGAAGCTAGACCCACCTGATGCTGTACCCACCTGAAAATCTATTTCCACCCACTTGATAAATCACAAGAAGATCATGAAGAACAGATGTAATAGAATTGATCTGAATTGACCTTCGGCCACCGGTCCAATATTTCACTATATTGCCCTTCGAAATGACGTTATTGTACTAATCAGAGCAGCTGTTAGTACTATATACTTTCGCAACGATTGGTCATGATTATTGTTTCACGATCTACAAGTTGATGAATGATGCTACTTGATCTCTAAGCTTTGAAATGATATAGAATCAATAGACATAAAAGGTACATTGCAATTCCATTTGTGATGCTCTTTATATTCCAATTTTAATGCTATAACGATGAATTAGTTGACACAGAAGATTTCTCATGCAGGTGAAATTATTTAATGAGATTCCCAAGAGAGCATCCATTCAATAACGGCCATTAGGGTGCTTTAGTATAGTATGTAAAACCAGTAACTGAGAGGCAGACTGTGCTATATGAAAATAGTCGGTGTGGATTTATGTGTGTGCCTTTATACACCATTTACAGCCTTCATTCAGTATTGGTGATAAAGATGACCTTTCACTATAAATTATTTTTGCATTTTGAGAAGTCAGCAACATTCTGTGTGGTTTTATAAAAAATAGGAAACATTTATCAGATATGTGCTACCTATAAACAATCGGTGTGGATTGAGGTTATCCGCACCGACTGTTTAGGGGTAGCACATATCTAATAAATGTCTTCCATGCCTTAAATAAAGATGGACTTAGACAAACCCCAGTGGACAAACCAGGCTACAGCCATCACATTTGAAATATTTGCTGACGTACATCAGCTTAAATATGTCTTGACTTTAATACCCAGTAATATATTCAATAGTAATAATGATTCAAGCTTCTCTATTGACTTTGGAGATAGAAAATCTTAAGAAAAATGGTCTGTTTGACATTAAGCCGACTGATAAGTTATCACAACATGCTTACTTATATCACTGAGTTTCAACTTGACAGTTCTATCATTGATATCTCCACATTTATAATAGATAGTAGAATGTGATCGCAGTGCAGTGTGAAGATAGATGTAGAATGGGAGAGGAAATAACTTGATTTCTGATTTGGTTTTGATAGTTTTGTCACTACTACAAGTGTTCAGCAGTAAATGTTTGGCGATTGGTATCTGTTTCATACTAACAAATGGCAGGTGGTGACATTTTGAATATGAGTGCCTTGATATCTATTGATATTTGGATCAAATTAAGCCCAACTATCTGATGAGAGGAATACAAATTCTTTGGAGGGATGAATTTAATATATACCTCTTAACCATATCCTGTGTGGGCTACCCTCATATCATTTAGAATTAATTATTAGATAAATACAAAAAGTATGCAAGAGGGCAATTTTATATTTGCAGTATCTATAAAAGTACTTGTCCACTCATCATCCGGGTGTCACCAATGTCTCACTCGTTTCTCCACAAATCTGTCAAACATCAGTTCCCCCAAAGTTTTCAACAAAACACCTTCTCAAATGAATACTGAAGATATTCTCGAAGAATATTTCCGACTTCAATATTTTTAGGACTATTTGCCTTATCATGCAATATAAAGGCTTTTTCATGATACCTTTTAAATTCAGACATTTTTAATAGTAACCTGTAGCACTAACTACCATATACATGATTATTCTGTTTATTTGCAGTTCTGGTTTTGTCGGTTTGCACTACTCGTGAAGTTGCGTCAGTATAGTCTTGCGGAAAGTGAGTGTGCTGCATTTGGCAACCTGGACCAACCAGACATGTACTATGAATTCTACACGGAACAGTACCCTGGTAGAAAAGGTTGGTTATTAGCCTGATTGCCCCTCCCCAACCCCCACCCCATTCTCACTATAACAAAGGTCAAGAAATAGAAAGGGAATGACCATGGCTAATTGTTAAAGAGGGTTGGAATTTTTCTGAATTCTGAAATATTTCAACAAGGTCAGTTGCAACGCCTACCCACTCTTAAACTTCATGTTTGACAAAATTTTGAGTTTATTGTAGTACTGCTCTTCGAAAAGTCACATTTAATTGTATGAGATATCAAGGCCTCCCAAATTTTGTATAGTTATACAGCACTTTCACATAACCACGTGTGCTTCACATATTTGCACTCATTAAGCATTCATCCAGGATGTGTTTAACATAAAAAGATCAAATCATAAAAGAATCACATTACGTGCACTTGTTCACTTGATATTGCATTGATGATTAAAGTCACACTAATAGTTATTTACATGCTCAACTGCAACTCATCATGTCTGTGCATATTTTATCTTACCGTGCAATATTATGATCTATTAAGCTTGGAGGAAATGTAGAATGTCACTTGATTTTTGGTGATTCTGAAGTCATGTCTGCGCTTCATTGTTCAAAATCAACCTCTGTAGTAATTTGACACCACATCCTAATTAGCCTCACTGACCTTTTATTGTTTCTCAAAACAATTTCTATCAAAATCAGAAAATCAGGGTGATGAGTCGGGAAAATTTTAGGGAATTTCAGTCACAAAAACTAACGAGTGACAACTTACACTTTCTCTGAGTGTCAGTGCTTACAATACTTGAAAGTAGCAAATTAATATTGTAATCGACCATTTGCCCAGATAAAGTGTTGATGTCCCCTGGCCCACCACCCCTCTCTACCTCCAGTCTCAATCTCTCGGACAAACAAAAAAATCGTACAACTGAAATTTGTTAAGCCACTGCATTCTCAGTGAATTCTATATGAATAGTGATATTGTTTAATAATTCCTTGAAAATCCTCAGCTCTCACTTACCCCCACTTACCCCCACCAAATGGTACGTTTGAATATTTTATTGAAGACTTCACCCTCCCCTACCTCTATTCTCTTTCCCTCAAACATATGAAAAATTGTAGGCTGCGTCAACAAAAAATGTGTAGTCTGTCTGCAGACATCTAGTTTGTACATACAAAGTACAATTAGAGTTCACAGTATCTCATTTAAAAGATTTATGGACAACGTTCAAGTTTATCTCATGTATGATACACTTCTAATGGGACTCCTTAGCTTTATCTTAATTGGTTATTGATTCACGTCATGCAAAATAGAAACTATTCTGAGCTTGCGGTGATATATTGAGCAAAGAAGCTTGGAAGAATAGTTATCAGTAGATACCATGGATCCTGGACCAGGGGACAAGTAGATCCCATAATTAATAGCTGCGTTGGTATAATCGCCAGAAATCAGATTCAGTTTAGCTTACCACTAAAGTGCATAGAATAGATTTATTTGAAAGTGAACATAGATATTTAGAAGCTATTTATTAAGAAATTAGATCCAATTTAGCCTACCACTAATTTTCTTAAAATATCTCCATTAAAAAGTGAAAATAAATATTTAGAAGATGGCTGCAGCCGGGGGGTCACTACGACTTTCAACGCATCCCTCCTCCCCCCTTGAGTTCTGCCTTATCGTTTTTCAGAAAAATTGACACATCCTTTTTTAATTTGCCTCAAAAAATGTGAACATTTTGCCTCAAGTTTTTTTTTACACTTTTTCTTTAAGACTTCATTTCAGTTTTCCTCGAACAGCTCAAATATTTGCTGTGCATTGCCATAATATCAGAGATATACAATATCTCGTCGATGAAATAGATATTACTTAATGCACTGTACCATATGACTAGCTTTTCATGTTTGACTTATGCAGTATATTAAAGGGTCAAGATGTTTGCCTCACAGATGATATTTGCCTCACTGACAACTTTTTGCCTCATTGACAAAAAATGCCTTTCTTTGATTAATAGATTTGCCTCACTTCACCCCCTCCTAGTTTTTTGCCTCATTGACAAAAAAATTACCTCATATGATAGAATAAATGCCTCTCTGTACCCCCCCCCCTTAAGAAATCCAAGCTATCATTAAGAAATCAGATCCAATTTAGCTTTCTACTAAATTGCATAAAATAGTTTCATTTGAAAGTAAAAATAAATATCCAGCCGAAACTATGAGCTAAATTAGATGACTTATATTTTTGTAAGAGAGGATTTCAGCTAAGGAATTCTAAAACTGTGATAAGCTGAATACTAATGTTAATCCCTTTTATAGCACTATAAATGATCAATAAACGATTAGTCGCAAGGCCAGTGTCATGTTAAATATTAAATGATTCATTCATTCATTTTGTAATCAGCAGTAGATTGATTACAGTAATCTCATTAAATCCTCAGATTATATGCAGGTTAGTCTGTTAGGATAGTCATTGGTTAAATTAGATCATCAAATGGATTAGATACTCGTACAGAGCAAAATATTTTTGTTTTGCAAACTATTATTGTTTTGAAATAGAGTATTTATGATTAATTTATTATATATTTTATTTAGTACATGTATTTCACTATACACTCCCCTCCATAAGTTTGGCAACCATAGCTCCTCCATTGAACTACGTGTTAAAGCCTCTTTACATTTGAATTTTTATTTACTTAACCGACGATGAAATAACTTATATTATTGATGGAAACATAACTTGACTTTATTTCCAATATTTCCAAATTTTCTCAATTTTTTTCCTCACTTACAATAGGTCGAAAATTGATGATAAATTTGATGAATTTTTGAAAATCGTCATTCCCATGTAATCCAATGGGAAATGGGGGTTCGGGGTAAATCTTTTTTTTTTTTTTTTTTGATAAAATTTATTTCAGTTTAACATAATTATTTACAGGTATGGTACAAAGATGAGGTTTCAAATTCATAAAGAGTATTTAAGTTACTCACACATTTTTCAATATACCATTTGTGAATAGATAACTTTGCTATCAGTATATTTTTGTAATTCTTTACTTTACCTATTCCATATATTTGATTGGCAGTTATATTTGGGAAATGTTTAGTCCAAAATTCAGCAACTGCTTTGCATTTAACAAAATGATGCTCTAAATTATCTATTTCATCACAGCTTGTACATTTGCTTGAATTTAAAATACCATATCTATGCAGTAAAAGATTACATGGATATATTGAATGTTAAATCTTCCAGTGTAGTATAATAAGGTCTGTTGCTGTTGTACAATTTTTTGCATTAAGCCAGGTTTTTCTTGTTAAAACTTCATTTTTGAATACAATTTCACAAACCCATTTTTCTATTAAAATTTTCCTAAAATCTTGAACATTTAAGTACTGCACATCTGTATCATTGAAGTATAAAGTATCTTCTGGAGCTACAATTTGATATTCTAATATCATCTCCCTTTTGAGTGCTTGTTTCAAAGTTTGATATTGCATCCATGTTTCAGCATTTCTGCCTACTGAGGAAACAATTTCATCATAAGAAATAATCTGGCCATTTTTGCAAACATCACATATAAAATTTATTCCACACTTAATCCAGCTTTGAAAATACAATTCTTTACCTGTAGCTTTGATATTTTCATTATGCCATAAAATAGAGCTGTCTTTGAACTTATTGTTTGATTTCCATAGATATAATAGTTTGCTATAAAATCCTAACAATTTATCAGTATTCACAATATTTTTAAAATCATTATTACATTGAAATATGGTTAAATCTTTACATAGGGTACCATACAAATACAGAGGTATTTTCCTCCAGCTGCCATTTCCATTTTCTTGTAGCTGTTTGACCCATTTAAATGCTAGAGCATTTTGCATATCAAATATATTAATCATTTTTAATCCTCCATTTTTAAAATCTTGTACAATTATTTCCCGTTTAACTCTTTCGGGAACATATTTTAAATCATCTTCCTTGAATTTTCCCTTCGCCCATATAAACTTAAATAACATTCTGTTAATCCTTCTAAGAAGATGTTCAGGCAATATAAAACTTTGCAGTAAATATAAAAATTGTGAGGAAAGAAAAGACTTTGCTAATGTTATCTTGCCTAATAATGTGAGACGTCTCTGAGACCAAGATTTCATTATATTAACACATTTTTGTATTTTTGGCTCAAAATTGTCCTGTACAAGATCTGTTACACTGGTAGTTGTGCAAAATGTAATACCCAAAATTTAAATTTTATTATTTGGACTTAGCTTCCAATTAATATTACCTAAGGTATCTTGTCTGTATTTCCATGTTCCGAGCCACATGGCTTCAGTTTTGTTTTTATTAATTTTCAGACCTGATATTATTGAAAATTTGTCGATCAATAACATGGCATTGGCAAATGAAGCTTCATTTTTCAAAAAAAGGGTTGAGTCATCTGCATATTGCAACAACTTAATAAGCCCCATGTCACAACCAGGTATTTCAACACCCTGTATATTGCTATCTTGTCTTAGTTTACATCGGGGTAAATCAGAAATCAGGATATCTTTTCAGTAAAAGATTCATCAAAAAAATGTTTTTATATAGAAAATTGAATTGTCTAACTTTTTTGTACACTAAGTGTTTAGTTCATTTAATGAATACTAAAGTTACAGCGCTTCAAATTCATTTTTGAAAATAATTTATCGCCTCCTGTGTTATTTCAATGGGAGAGGTTTTTTGAAAAACAATTTTGACTTTAAAGCCCTAATAGATTTGTTGAACCTGAAGAAACATATCAATTTTTCGTTAAATAAAGAAAGTTAGCAAATCCATTTGCCTGCCTAACTCTTATTTTTTGCAAGGACTCGGATAGATGGATATTCTGTCATATGACTTGCGGCAAACCTACCATTTCCCATTGGTTAACATGGGAATGTCGATTTTCAAAAATTCGTCAAATTTATTGTCTTATTGCCATTGAGGAAAAAAATTGAGAAAATTTGGAGGTATTGGAAATAAAGTCAAATTACGATTCCATAAATAGTATAAGAATTTTCATCGTAGATAAATACAAATTCAAAGGTAAAGAGGCTTTAACACGTAGTTCAAGGGGGAGCTAAGGTTGCCAAACTTATGGAGGCGAGTGTACAATGCATGTAGGCTATATGTATTGCATTTTACGAGGGGTGATCAATAAGTAATGGACGCTTTTTTACACAGATGCTTTTTATAGACCAATCCCTTTGATTTTCTTACCAGTGATACATCATTCAATTATCTATCAACTCTGAAGATTTGAAGACAATGTATATATTACATGTTGATATATTCTTATTTCCGTGAAGGAGGTACAGGTACCCCGGGACCGACATTTACGTCACATATTCTGAAGCTATTTTAGATTGTTTAACATGCAATGCAATTGGATGCAGGCTGAGCAAAACAAACCATTATGGTCATGAATTACCCCATTTTGTTATGCTATAGTTGATTTTGAATATTTTATCATCACTATGTGGTATTCATGCCACATTCATTCCACAGGGCCCTCTAAATAGGTTCCATCAAGTGCTACATGTACACAATTCCTCATCCTCTTAACTCAAGATTGTGAGACAAGGCTGAATCCATTCTCTGACGGTAGCAAGATGCAGTTGCACGGGTTGTTTTATTTCATCAATGTCAATGAACCTGCATCCTTTCTCTATAGAAATAAGTAGTATAGAAATAAACAAGTCACATGTGAGCAGATCTGGACAATATGGTGCATTGGCCAAGGGCTTTGAGGTCCAGGGATATTGTTTTCTGAACATATGAGATCTGTGGGCAGGTGCATTGTCCATATGGAGTAGGGTGTTTCCTTCTCGCACCACCCCTTTCTTCCACAATGCTTTCTCAAATTGACCTGCAAACCCCTTCCATACAACACTCTGACATTATAATACTTACTGTTTGTGTGTTACCAGTCAGCAAAACAACACAACAATTGTTGCATATAAAACGTTTAAATCTAACTGAAATTTACCAAACTGGCTAAAAACTGAATATGTGACGTAAATGTCGGTCCCGGGGTACCTGTACCTCCTTCACGGAAATAAGGATATATCAATATGTATTATATATTTTGTCTTCAAATCTTCAGAATTGATAGATAATTGAATGATGTATCACTGGTAGGAAAATCAAAGGGATTGGTCTATAAAAAGTATCTGTGTAAAAAAGCGTCCATTACTTATTGATCACCCCTCGTACAATACATACACTATGTATTACATGTACTACATGGAACAATAGATGTACTGTATTATATAATACAAGTGCTAAACTATTGTGATATATGCACTACACTATCCAATACAGTGGCGTACCCATAAAACGCCATAGCGTACTCTCAAAGTTTAGAGAAAAGTGAATTTTTGATATTGAAATGACCCACGTTTAATATTTTGAAGTAATGGCCTAACATTTTATTAATCCATATTATTTTTTCGTCGTCGAAATTTCGTATTTTAAAACGCCCCAGAACGCTTCAAATGCAATCTAATTTTTTCAAATTTTCTTTGGGGAAAGAACCCCCCTCAAAGCTCGTTCGCTTCGCTCACTCGTGGCGTACACTCATAAAATACCCACGCTACGCCACTGCAATACATGTGCTACATTTTATGTACCATATCTACACTACATGTTTTACAATATATAATACATGTACCACATTATATGATTTTTTTCATTTCATTTGAGTTACTACAACTATCTCACACAAAACAATACAAGTCAGTAATGATACACATTGGAATCCATGTGCTACATTCTAAAAGTACATTTAATACACTATACCATATATGTACTACACTATACAATACATGTACTGCACTACATAACATATACGAGTAGTACTAGTGGTGTCAGGTATAATTGGTTAATCACCGATAACCTTTTAATCACCGATAGTCGATTGATTGGTCTGTATCCTTTTATTTCCCACGCTTACATTGAATGGTAATCTGTTTGTTTTTCAAGTGTCTGCCACATGTTAGCTTCTCATTAGGTCAGATAATTCCTTACAAACACGTAAATCTCCAATCAGCAAGTTTAATCCCCGAGCATTTCCCTCCAAAGTAAATATGTCAGCATGTGATTTAATTTGAGTTGGTTTGACAAGTGGAACTTAGTTTGATACAGAATGGATTACGATTGACACTTCGATATGCTTGATACATCTTTTAACTCCTGGTGCTCTCTATCCATAGTTCAAGGAACTCATGTGTTTTAAATTCCAAGCAAAAGACTGAATGTAAATTAACACATAGCTGATGTTTTTGAGTCAAACTTGAGAAAGAGAAAGGTAGTTTTTTGATGAGGAGAAAAAACAGTTATCCCTGTCTACAATTTTGGGACACCCTGTATTACACTATGAAATATATGTACTATACTAATACAATACAATATAATACAATACAATAAAATACAATACAATAAAACAAATACAATATAATTCAATGCATGTATAATACAATACCTGTACTAATATATTACATCACATTTGTCTTGACAGAAGATATCATAGTTCTGATATTGAATTACATTTTTTATTCTTAGAAGATATAAGCTGATTGTTAAGTGTTATAAAAATAAAATATCTGCTTTTATTTTCAGGTTCTTTGGTCCCATTTGGGATGCGTCTTCTCCACGCAGAGCTTCCGCATTATCTTGGCAAGTCACAAGAGGCCCTTGACAGGTTGTTCTATATAATGGCAATAGTCACAAAGGTAACTCATTAGTATTTTTTAAAATTCCAGGAAGCTGGAATTCATCTGTTTTCTTTTGAATATATTTTTAATTGAACGCCAGATTGGTTGTTCCGTGTAACGATTGGCATGAGAGATAAGAATGTTTTCGATGAAGTTTTGTATTTCATGTACTTGCAAAAGAAGAATTTATTAATCAACTTGTTTCAAAATAAAGAGTATAATATTCATGGTTTTGAGGCTACAATAATTCACACTACATTAACTCAGTAGAAAATGTCTGGAAATTGACAACTGATACGACGCTTTTTTCATCTTGTATGTGCATCTTTATGTGATGGCTATTTTATTCATATTAGAAAATGAATGGTTGACTGATTAATTTATTTGTTATAGATCCTCACCAACCTTGGCTCTGGTCTGTCTGAAGAAGGTGCCGCAATAGAACTGAGCGATGACACACGTCAAGGTATATTTTTACCACTCTTAAAGGAGTGGTTTTCCTAAACAGTTTTTAGGTTGCTATAGCTTCGACAGTCCCTTTAAGTTTACTACTGGTATCACTTATCGTTGTACATGTTTTTGGTCTAAGTTGCTGCCATGTTATATAGTGATTTTTACTTAGAGAAATTCTAATATAGTTTCTCTATTAGAATGACAGAAAAAAGGTGACTTGCTTGATAGCCTTTGCTGTTTTGATCAAAACTATTAACAACATCATCTTGCTTCAAGACAGTGGACCTTCCCCCTTATCTATTTTACCAACAAGACCGTGTAGCTAGACTATTAACTACACCTTCAATGTTGTTGTTCGTATTCATTCCACCTTGAAGCAACAGGTTCTAATGATTAATTAATCAAAGTAAAAAGGACTCTACTTTCGAATGAGTGTTTTTATTATGAACTTCAGGGGATAATGAGAATTTCTTTGTCTGTCTGTATTGATGTCCACCCATGCATCGTTCATCTGTCTGTCTCTCAGTTGATCCAGGCATGGGCTTGAGCCAGGTGATACCTCAAATACTGTTGCACCAATATTTTTCATATTTTATAAATTTATGTCTCATGGAAATACAATTTCTGCTTGAAAACTAATTTTCAAAATGTCTTGATTTTACAGCATTTTTCTAAGAATTTCGTATGAAATTGTAATGGTTTTCATGCAGATCATTATGAGCAAGGTTTTGATATGGTCCAAAATTTCAAATTCTTTTTTTTGTTATTAAAATATATGGTCACAGGCTGGTATCGAAATATTTGTCCGCTGTGACGGAGCATGCTATTTTTCATAAAAACACTAAGAATACTTCATGATTTATTTTTTAACTCACAAGTTTCGTTATACCATACAAAATTACTAACTCCATGCAATGGATATATCATTTGCGGGTAACTTTCACTTCTGTTTGAAGTCCAATTACGCTGGGAAGAAAAGCTATTGAAAATGGCGCCGGAGTATCATACTTCAAAATGTACCATTTCTTGTTTAACTTTCTAATGGCACGATATAGTGACACGATAATATTTACACATGGTTTCAGCATAACTATGAAGGTATAAATGAGATGTTGATGTATTTGGTCTTTTTAATTCTTTTATAAAAAATAATGTTTAATTTTTTTGTCCGCTGTGACGGAGCAGTTGCAAATGTGAACTGTGAAAATGCTCCGTCACAGCGGACAAAAAATATTAATATTATTTTTTTATAAAAAAAATAAAAAGACACAATGCATTAATATTTCATTAATACATTCAGAGTTATGGTGAAAACATATGTTAATATTATCGTGTCACTATATCATACTATTAAAAGATTAAAAAAGAAATGGTACATTTTAGAGTTTGATACTCTGGCGCCGTTTTCAATAGATTTTACTCCTAGCGTTATTGGACTTCAAACAGAAGTGAAGGTTACACGCAAATGATATATCCATTGCATGGAGTAAGTAATCATCTTTGATAAAACGAAACATATGAGTTAAGAAATAAATCGTGAAGCATTCTTAGTGTTTTTATGAAAAATAGCATGCTCCGTCACAGCGGACAAATCTTTCGATACCAGCCTGTGATGGTAGCACTTTTGTTAATATATTAGATGTAAATACTTGGAAGTATTGCATATAGTCTTTTTGATAATTTCCCCACAAGGTTGCCATTTCTATCTGTGTCACTTTTTATCGCACTTTGAAAAAGTGCTATATTGTCGTCGTCTTGTGCTGTTGGGCGGGCGTTTGGGCGGGCGGGCGGGACATAAACCAAATCTTGTCATCAAATTTCCAGGATAACTGCTTACCTGTTCAACTTGAAATTTTTACAGATGCAAGAGCAGACTAGTACCAAGATCTGATTAGGTTAAGGGCATGCTGGGTAAACTATGTGGCGGCCATTTTGAATTTTTCAACAAATCTTGTCATCAAAATTCCAGGAAAACCACTTATCCGTTCAACTTGAAATTTTTACAGATGCAAGAGCAGACTATTGCCAAGATCTGATTAGGTTTTGGGTATGCTGGCTGAATTACATGGTGGCCATTTTGAATTTTTCAATTTGGCGGCCATTTTGAATTTTTCAACTTGCTCCAAATTGACCAAATTTTTTTTTTAAAAACATCTACAAGTTCTCAGAAGTTCAAATCTGACCTTAGATTTCAGATTTCACCTTTCATTCACCTTCAGTGACCTTGAAAAGGTCAAAAAAGTTGATTTTCTAAATTGATATTTTGGATTTAAATTTAGGTCAGCTTAATTACAAAACACCTACTGAGGTCTGAAAAAGTGAAATTTTCAAGGTCGAAAGTCAAGGTCATTAAACTAGGTCACAAATGATGTTATCCAAGTTTCTCAAAGTTTGAGACTACAAATCAATTCTTGTCATCAAAATTCCAAGAAAACCGCTAACCTGTTCAACTTGAAATTTTTACACATGCAATAGCAGACTAGTGCCAAGATCTGATTAGGTTAAGGGCATGCTGGGTAAACTATGTGGTGGCCATTTTGAATTTTTCAACAAATCTTGTCATCAAAATTCCTGGAAAACCACTTATCCGTTAAACTTGAAATTTTTACAGATGCAAGAACAGACTATTGCCAAGATCTGATTAGGTTTGGGGTATGCTGGCTGAATTACATGGTGGCCATTTTGAATTTTTCAATTTGGCGGCCATTTTGAATTTTTCAACTTGCTCCAAATTGACCAATTTCTTTTTTAAAAACATCTACAAGTTCTCAGAAGTTCAAATCTGACCTTAGATTTCAGATTTGACCTTTCGTTGACCTTCAGTGGCCTTGAAAAGGTCAAAAATTTGATTTTCTAAATTGATATTTTGGATTTAAATTTAGGTCAGCTAATTACAAAATTTTCAAGGTCGAAGGTCATCAAATTAGGTCACAAATAATGTTATCTAAATTTTCCCAAAGTTCAAGACTACAAATAAATTCTTGTCATCAAAATTGCAGGAAAACCGCTAACCTTGTCAACTTGAAATGTTTACAGATGCAAGAGCAGACTAGTGCCAAGGTCTGATTAGGTTTTGGCCATGCTGGGTAAATTGCATGGTGGCCAGTTTGCTCTTCAAAGTGCGATATTTATCACTGTGTGTCTTGTTCTATGACTCTATGACTTTTCTCTGAAAAGTAATCAAGGGATTTTTGAGATTTTTATGATATGCTCAAAAAGCCAAAAATGACAGATGTCTTTTGTTGTTATTAATAAGTAAATACATCCGAGCTTGACAGATTATAATTTGGCAAATCATCCAGTATTGTGGCCTATTGAGAAATAATGTTTGGCAGTCTTGCCTTATGCTCTAAGAAATGTTCAATGGAGTTTGTTACACCTTGGCTTTGCCATTATCTAGTTATACCATAATGGTTTAATGCCCTCTGGCTCTAATCATGATTTCTAACTCAGGAAGTATGGTTCCTACGCTGATCTTGTATTTTTCAGTCATTAATTAACGTTTCTCGATTGTGTTTCCCCCCTCAGTCTATGTTAGGATAGCATTTAATCTGTCCTAATACCTGATATTTTTGAAGATTGTCATTTGAATCTGATACAGTTCACATCAAAAACATAATTAATATTGACACTCATTTATGAACCTATAATAAGGGTAACCCAATTTTGAAACTATTTATAGAAGTGTTAATAAAGGGCTAGAAATCAAGCACAAATCTAGTATAAAACAGTAAACCTTAGTAAACACCTCTCTCTAGTGAACACCTGTGTCTAGTGAACACCACTTCAAGACACAGTTTACATGGACTCTTGTATAAAATCCCCTCTGTGGTGAACACCTACCTGAGTGAACACTTTTTGTAGATTCATCGGTATTCACTATATACGGGTTTTACTGCACCTCTAACATTTTTCACCATCTATATTATGGACCTAATCTATTGTATTTCCATTATTTCCAGTTTGACATGCTTTGTATATTGCCGACAATGTTGAAAAATGTAGGCAATAATATTGTATTGTATTTTTTATATATTATATATGGAATAAATGAGAAATGAAAAAAAAGAAAAATCTCATCCTGGAAATCAACTAAGAATTAAAAAAATTGTGCCTGGTTCATACATAGGGGAGCCTAGATTCGTAATTGGTCCCTTCTTCAATTTTTATGTCACTACCACATATTGTTATTATATAGTCTCCAAATTTTTGGGGGATTGTGTTTGGCATTCAGCATTTGACATTTGGTGGTATGCATCTGTAACAAATGGCAGGTGGTGACATTTTGCATGTTAATGCCAGATCAAAAAAAGTTAATGGAGGGACAACATTAGTGAATTTGGTGGTCAGTGTCTGTAACAAATGGAATGTAGTGACATTTTCCATGTTAATACCTAGATCAAAATAAGTTAATTAAGGGATATCATTAGTAAAATATGTATTATACATGGTGCTATAATCACAGTGTAATGATAAATTATTACTGAGTGCAGCCACAAATAAATCTAGATATTGATATAGCTTTCTGCGGAGTTTTTAACATTATCTGAAGCCAAATCCGTAAACAGCTCACCTCACTCCCCATCCATCTGAATATTGTGTGCTAGCTGTTAAACTTGGATTGCCGCCCTTGTTTAAAATTTCATGCTGGAACCTCACACTTTAAATTACGCACTAATAATTGGGTCCAACCTGTGTGTTCTACATGCTTTGATCAGTCAGGAATTGCATTGTGGAACCACTATATTATAGTATTTGATATAACAAGGTGACATTATGTTTTAATTAACCTTTACTTTCTGTTTTTCAGCATCAGTGGATTTGTGGAGAAAGCGTGAAATCAAATTGCTTTACACTATTTCGAATGTCCTGCTGTCTATTAAGGTATGTATGTAGAGACATGGGGGGTATGAAAGCCCATAGTAGAGTGTAACCCTATTTCCCTTTTACCCTCATACATCTTCAAGCCATAGGATTTTGCTGTTTGTAATAGACTAGATGCGAGTAGAAATGATCTTGATTTACATCATAAATATTCAAAATTCAGTCAAAGTGATGTCATATTTGAAATCTACATGTAAAAATACATCAAAAAATATGGTTTAGAAAATGATTTATCAACTTTGAAAATTTAATCCTTTTTGAAAATCGGGTTGATTCCCCATAGACTCCATATTACAAATTCACAAAAAGTGAAATATCTTTTCTTGTATTGGTATAACATTTTCTTTTACTGGACATACTTTAATTTGCATAACTATTCGATACATAAGGGTTACATGAAAATTGAACCACTAAAAAAGATGTAATTTAAGTTAAAGGGAACTTTCTACTATACCCGCCATGCTATCTGACCCGAGCGAGCCACCTGGTGGTGAAACTGGTTACTACCTACTCGCATTTGCGTTATTGCCTAGTAGCAGCAATCTACTTGGAAGTACACTGTGTACTTAATTCGGTTGAAAACTTAATGAAACAAAATATAGAACTAGTATAGTTCAAACTAATTTTATCCTCACGAAAAGTTACTTTGAATAAAAAAACAAAAGTACATAAAAACAAGAAAGCAAAATAGCCCCTATAATAAAGTAAAATGAGAATGTTCCTTGCTTGGTGGTTATAGGATCTATCTCTTCCCATTTTTGGTCATACACATAAATTATTGACCCCTTAATATGAGCCTTTGTGTGACCAATCTTTCTATATATTCACCTTGATTGGGGCTTATGGCATATCTTTCAAATCTCGTCTCAGATAGCATATGTTCAAATTTCCTAAAATGCAAAAATTCAATCTTGTGACCTCATATTTGACTTAGCTTTAAGTAAGATCAGTCTATGGACATTCCCCTTAGCTGGGAGCAGCTGAGTTCAGTAAGGTTGGGAAGGTATATAACAGGAGTAGCAGTGACTAATACGAATCTCGTGTACTTGCTGTTTCAGGACTATACCTCCTGTATTGAGATACTGCAGACCCTTCTTACAAAAGACGAGAAAAACCAGGCGGCAATTAGCAGCTCCATTGGCCGGATATTTCTCCAGGTATACATCCGCTTGTTATTAAAGGGTGACGCATATCGTTTAGCAAATCAAACGCTCATTTAGTTGTGTGTTAATTAAACGAGGTAACTGTAGATATTACACTCAACCAGGTTGGCAGAGACCCAACTTAACATGACTAAGAGCTTTTCAATTTTATATCTTGATGATTAATTGATCCTTTAAATTTTGACTTTCTCTTACCTTTTTAAGTTATCCACTTGTCCGCTCAATATTCAAATTTTGATTCTGATCATTTACTCTGTAAAATTATATTCAAAAGGGAAATGATTTTCAAAAAAGGACCTCAGGGATTCTTACACCTAGGAACTTCTCTTGTGAATGAACAGCTCCTGACTTTTTATTGTCCCGTTTTTCTCAATATCTGTGTCAAGTAATGTTCCAAAGGATTGGTTTCGATATGGTGAACTTTTTGAACACGCTTGTTGATTTAAAAATAGTAGTTTTTGTTTTAATTCTTTGAATACTTTTTGATAAATCAACCAAAATTTCGTTTGTATAACTATAATATTGAGAGGTTCGGAAAGATATTTTTTCATTCTCAAGAATTGGTAGAAAGGAACAAAAAACAACTGCACTAAAAACAGTTATATAAAATATATACAAATAATTAAATCACTGTTGTCAATAATTGGTTTAAGAGAAAAACATTGTTGAATTCAGTTTACCATATCGATAGCAATCCTTTGTATACACATACAATGGCGTAGCATCATATACACACAAAACGCCATGGCATACTCTCAAAATTTAGAGAAAAGTTGATTTTTATATTGAATTGCACCACACTTTAAAAATACTGGATATTCTGAAAAGAGCGCCAATAATTTACATTTTATTGGTCCATATTAGTCAGAATTTCATATTTTAAAATGCCACATAGAAGGCTTCAAATCCAATCTCATTTTCTCGGGGGAGAACCCCCCCCCCAAACCCCCTAAAAGCTTGTTTGCTTCACTAACTCGTGGCGTACACTCACATAATACCCACACTACGCCACTGACACAGATAAGCACATCCTTGGTCCAGGGGTATTTCAATTCTTTCCATAGTTGTGATAGAAGCAAAGCCAGATCTTGAATGATGAGATAAGCATTTACACTGTATTGGGACACTTTTTGACCAATCTGAATTCGGAACTATACAACTGTATGAGTACTGAATTATAATTTTGGTTTAATTGTCCTATCTTATGATGTGACCACCACAAGTGGTGACATATTGTTATAGTTTCCAACTTTTTTGTGGACTAGTGTTTTGCATTTCAGTGTCTGTAACAAATGGGAGGTGGCAACATTTTGCGTTTTAATCCCTTGTTATTCATTCGTTTTAGACACTGTTTTTGTGACTGGTATTCAGTTTCTGCATTAGTGGTAGATGTCAGTATCTGTAAGAATCCACCATTTGCAGGTGGTGACATTTTGACATGTTTTAATGCCTTGTTTGTTTATTGCTTTGTGTTTATTTCAGATGGGGCAGCTAAATCTTGCAGAACAACAATTTCAAGGAATTAAGGATGGACATCTTGCCAGTGGTGGAAAGAAGGATTCAACAGATCTGCTGAATGAGTGAGTGACTTTGTAAAAGTAACATTTGGAATAATCATGGCAAACTGAGTATTTTATCTCAATATAGACAATTTTTCAGTCAAATTTTTATGTCACCACCATAAGTTGTGACATATTGTTATGGTCTCCAACTTTTTGTGGAGAGTGTTTGGCATTAAGCGGTATGTGTTCAGCATTTGGTGGTTGATGTTTGGCATTCAGTGTCTGTAACAAATGGCAGGTGGTGGAATTTTGTATGTTAAAAGCCATGTTTTAACTGCCAGAGTTCCAAGTAGACTAAAGTTAGAAAACAACTTTTTCTGTAGTTCCAATATTGTCTTCACAAAATGTTCATTAACTCAATTATAGCTAGTGCACCCTGGGTTTTCAATGGGTTAAGAATTAAATTCACAATTTTTAATTTTGAGTTTTGTTTGTTTGATTTCAGGGGATTCCTGCACCTTGGTAAAGGCTCATATAAAGAGGCCTTTGAATTATTCAAATCTGCAAGTGAACTAGATCCTAACAATGCTGTGGTGAGTTAACTTTAACCGCTTATTCAAATTAAGACCTCTATTAAGATCTCTATAAGTCTAATTTTATACCTGAATATAAAGGCATTCTCCTTTGACGAATCTCCTCACATTTTAAGCACCTGTGTTTAAACAAATGCAATCTCTTGTTCCAGGCAGTCAACAATATGGCAGTTTGTGCTCTATATACTGGAAAATTAACATCAGCATTGGAGATCCTTGAACACCTCGTTCGTAACAACCCAGCCAAATACCTCCAAGATGGTATCCTATTTAACCTCTGTACATTACATGAACTTGAATCATCGAAAGCGATCCAGAAAAAACAAGGACTTCTCGAGTTAGTGAGCCAGCACAAAGGAAACGGCTTTAACGCAGCCTGTCTAAAAATGTCATAGAAAATGTCAACAGATTTGTTGCATTAGATACTCAGTTTGGGAAATATTAACTTTTCAAAGTTTTACAACAAATGGACTTGATAATGATTTATGATTCCAAGATTATAAAGACCGGAGCTTAGAAATAACAAGCTGATCTTAACCTTTATAAAAATTCTACTGTTCTTAGTTTACTTTATTAGAACTCTCTAGGTTTACTCTATTGACTAAAACAAATGTTACAGTTTCTAGCATTTTTTATTCCTAAAATGAATGTTTTATCATAAATCATTTCTAGTATGGTTCACACTAAGGTTGACATTCTTTATTGATTTAGTATGGTTTATACAGTTTATAGGGCTTTTTATTCTTTTCATTGTTGCTTCTAATGTGTTGTAACATTTTCACATTCCATAGTTGAGTGAACTTAACCATGTATCCAGTGACAATTGTATGACATTGTCTACTTTGAAACAGTGAAGTCATTTAGTCTTTTATCCTTAATGTATGTTCCCTTTCAAATTCAGTTAAAACTATGAAAATATTGGTGTCAAACTGGTCAATAAAAAGAGTGAAGAAACTGATTATGCTTTGTGGAGAAACATCGATTTCAAATGAAGCAACTCATTAGATTAGAATATCTGAATGTTAAGAGATCTTACATCGTTGAGATTTTTCATTTAGGTTCATATGGTTCCAGTCATAGATTGCATTAAGATATAATGCCTAGGTCACATTTGCTCTGATTCATCAGCCAGCGCCCGACCGAATGCGTATTTTGTTCAAAGTTGAAGGTCAAATCTCAAATCTGAGGTCAGATATGAACTGATTTTAAAAAAAAGTTAGTTCAATTTGAAGCAAGGTGAAATCAGTTTTGAACAAAATACTGCAATCAGCCAGGCGCCGGCTGATGAATCGGAGCAAATTTGACCGAGGCATAATGCTGAAACGAGTTAGGAAGATATAACTATTAATAGTCTTGATGGGACATCATATTCCAATCACAGATATATTGCTATTATGTTCTGGGGACATATGAAAAATTTACACCATGTAAGCCAATTGAGAAAATGTTCAGTCTGAAATGTATGTTTTGAGACATCAAATATTGACTGGTTCCGTACTACAGTTATGTGCAATAAAAAATGTTCACCATGTTTATAACATGGACATATCATAGAATAAATAAATTAAAATAATATATAAGAATATTATAGTTTTGTACATTTATTTATTTCCGTTAGTAAAATCATTTTATGTACATACACCAATACCTATCAACTGAAAAGCTAAACCCAATCGTAGGTAGACAATTTAGTTCATCTACTTTTAACTGAATATTCTTACATTTCTAAAAATATATGATTGCACTTCATAAAAATATATGTACACATAATAACATGTATTCCCTAGATTTACAAATTCCTTCTCAGCAGGACCAGCCCTTCTATTAGACAGTCATACATGTGTCACCTACATGTGCCACGTACATAGGCTCACAGACATGTGCTCACATGCTTAATACTCATGTGCTCTATTTTTAATTACATGTGATATCAGCTTGTAAGCAAACATGTAAAAATATACAACTAAATCATCCTGTTAATGTATTCTACTCCACCTACATTTATGACTTAAGCCTTAAGACTGTACCCACACAGTCCAGTATGCCATAATTCAACATAGCAAAGTAACTACAGCTTTATTTTGAGACAAACATGAATGCAGAATTCAATTAAATTAAACATATCTAAGGATTTATGCCAAAAGCTGGAATAAGTGTTTCATATACTTCCTAACACATAGAAGATACCAAATATACATGTGTAACGGCTTCATTTGATGATAGTATTTACATGATATATATACACTGTACAGTAAAAAATGCATGGCACATAAGCAACAATGAGGCTTTCCTATGAGAATTTTATATTCTTACATTTGTATTCCTTCCCAAATCAATTTTTGAAAAACAATATTTCCACTTAACACTCTGAATGCCACTGAATGGCAATGTGCGTAATATGTATTAGACTTGAGTGAACCTTCCTCCACCAATTAATTAACAATGATATAGAAGTACTTAGTGCTATTTAACATATCATATATTACATGCCACATCCTGCACTACTAAAATACAATATGCAACAGAAACATAGCAAAAGAATTCTAGATTAAATAGATACAGCTTATGGTGTATTCATATATTTATGCCACGTGGTACCTGTTAATTCAGACAAATGAACATATTGTACGTGTATATTTAACTTTGTGAAGCAAATATCAAAATTAACATTGAAATAAATATGGAGGCAGATAAGAGGGCATATAAGGACAGCACCTTCATATATGGAGGCAGATAAGAGGGCATGTAAGGACAGCACCTTCATATATGGAGGCAGATAAGAGGGCATATAAGGACAGCACCTTCATATATGGAGGCAGATAAGAGGGCATGTAAGGACAGCACCTTCATATATGGAGGCAGATAAGAGGGCACGTAAGGACAGCACCTTTATATATGGAAGCAGATAAGAGGGCATGTAAGGACAGCACCTTTATATATGGAGGCAGATAAGAGGGCATGTAAGGACAGCACCTTTATATATGGAGGCAGATAAGAGGGCATGTAAGGACAGCACCTTTATATATGGAGGCAGATAAGAGGGCATGTAAGGACAGTACCTTTTTCTCATTCCAATGACATTTTCATACACATGTACTCAATTTTAGACAAGAACACAAATGTGTACAATATGTCCCCACCTATGGGTGATCCTGTCAAGTGGTTATCCTAAAAATGAGTAGACAAGACTTTGCCGACACAATTTGAGGACGGAGAATCCAAAATGGCCACCTTAAAATTTACCAAGAATGCCCAAAAATCAGTCAGTTCTAGATTTTCATACTAAGAACCACCCCTGAAAATTTGAAATTGATCCGTCACACAGTTAACCAGAAAACATGTAAACAAGACTTTACAGACAAGATTTGAGGACAGAAAATCCAAAATGGCTGCCTTGACATTTATCCAGAATGCCAAAAACTAATCTATTCCAAGGAGGATTGGAAGCCAGGGTTCCAACTCGATATTCTTTAATCTCCACGCATGCGTCATTTGCTATTCGTGTCTGTATAATTTGTACGACTGCATGGAGAATGACCCGATACTCTCCAACAAAGCTATCGCTAGGTGATTGTTTTGCAGAATATCGGTGTTGCATTCTGGGAGCCAATCCTCCTTGAATCTATTCTGGATTTTCACACTAAGAATCATCCCTGAAAATTTGAAATTGATCTACCAAACAGTTCACCTGGAAATGTGTAGACAAGACTTTACAGACGAGATTTTAGGACAGATAATCCAAAATGGCTGCCTTGACATTTACCCAGAATGCCCAAAAACTAATCAGTTCTAGATTTTCATACTAGAATCATCCCTGAAAATTTGAAATTGATCTACCAAACAGTTCACCTAAAAACGCGTGGACAAGACTTTACGGGCAAGATCTTAAAACGGAAAATCCAAAATGGCTGCCTTGACATTTATTCAGAATGCCGTAAAAATAACCAGATCTAGATTTTCATACTGAGAATCATCCCTGAAAACTTGAAATTGATCTACCAAAAAGTTCACCTGAAAATGCGTAGACAAGACTTTACAGACAAGATTTTAGGATGGAAAATCCAAAGTGGCTGCCTTGACATTTACCCAGAATGCCCAAAAACTAATCAGATCTAGATTCTCATACTAAGAATCATCCCTGAAAATTTGAAATTGATCTACCAAACGGTTCACCTGAAAATGCGTAGACAAGACTTTACAAGACAAGATTTTAGGACGGAAAAATCCAAAATGGCCGACAATAAAAAAGTGATTATGAGTTTTTACAAAATTATCACATATAACAACTGTTAAAAATAACATAAGCTTTTACAACAAAGTACACCTGAAATTATTTATAAAGCTACTAAAAAGTTAAAGTATGAAAACTGAAAAACACCATTCAATATGATACAAAGTATTATCGCGCGCTAACTTTTCTTAAAACATTCAAAATGGCTGACATGACTGAGCTAACAGGTCCAAAACCTAATCAGATCAAGAATGAAGTGAGCTGAACAAGATGTTAAAGTTTTAAAAGCAACTGTGAAGCCGTTTTTCTTAAAGTTTGCAGACAAGGATTTTAGCATTTGACTTCAAAATGGCCGACAGGAAGTAGGTATCGAGTTAATTTTTTTCATCCACATCTGTATGCACTCATAAGTTATCCCTGAAAATTTGAAGGTGATATCTGTAGCGGTTTTGGAGAAAATTGCCGGATGTACGGACGGACAGAGAGACGGACGCGCCTAGGCCGACAATATGGCCGTACACTATGTGGTGGGGACATAAAAACAAAGGAGTATGATACAATAGTGACGTGCTGTTCAGATGAAAACAAGAAGACAATAGAATGAAATCAAAGGCCAGAACTAAAAGAAATAGAAAAGAAGTGTTTATAATTTATTCATCATTGAAATCTGGACACCATATAATAAAATACCAAAATATTTAAAGGGAAATTAGTACTACAATTCCATTTACATTATAGAGAAGCACCTTTGCTTAGATCAATTCAGCCCAAAACACGTGCCAGTAGAGCAAAACGTGCATTCTATTCTCTTTAGATTATTGGCATTCTAGTATGATACTCCACAATTCAACTGGCTCTCTGCTTTTGCTAACATACTGCTTGGATAAATGATTGCAATAACAAGAACATTATTTTTTCACACAAAACGAAATTATAATATAGTGATGTAGTTAGGACATAATTATAATTGAGTGATGTACGTCATAAATTTTAATAATCATCTGTGAATATACAATTAACTCCAGATCCATTTAAGCCAGCCATACACCAATGGGGCATATAGTGGGACCTCCATAGACTTGGACCTTGTCGGACCTCATGGGGTTTTGCCCCATTGGACTCCAATGGATTCCATGGGACTTTGCCCCATGGAGCCCCATCGAGCTCCCTCATGTCCAATTGAGCTCCATGGGGCAAGTCTCACAAGGCTCCATCGAGAATTTAACAAGGTGACTGATATGTCAGGTGGCTTTGGATCAACATGGCCTCAGTAAAACCTTCCAAACTAGGCTAAATTTTTTTACATCATATCTGTGACAGTGGATCAAGTTAACAAGGTCTCATGGGGTGACTCAATAGGACTCGATGGGGCAAGTGGGATATTGCCCCATTGGTGTATGTTGGGATTTAGATATATAAGAATTTCATTTTTAACATTAACTTATACTTGGCACTAAAATTCCATCACTACGATTATTATAACTCCTTGCATTGCATAGCAGACATACAAAGACATGTATATGAGGCAGCAGACATAGCTCATTCATCTTCCATGAGCTAATTACAAGATGTACTATATGATAAATACAATTCAATAATTCTTGTACTACATATCTGATAAATAGATAATGGACATAATTTCAGTCTAATCAATTAAATACTAACGTATGACAAATTAGCAGCTGCTTCTCATCGTGCTGTTCTTAATAGGCCGTGTTTTCGTAGAGTTCTGCGTAAGACTATATAACATTGAAATGATGAATAAGGCTTCCTTCCATGACAACACTATTGCATAATGGTTCACTGTTTACTGTCAATGTATAGAATTGTCAGGTTTCCAAAGTTCTTTTTAACATGAGAATACTGTTGTAGATTTTTATAGCAGGTCCTAGCTTCATATTTAATATCTTCACCATATCTGTTTGATTTAACAAGAGGAACGCTTCACCATCAATTTGCTGCAAAATGATATATGATACAATTATAACACATAAACAATGTGGCATTTACATTTACAGCCATTTGTTACAGATGCTGACAACCGAAAGCAGTCTTTACACCAACCGCCAAAGAATCTTTTTAGCATATTATTATTTCTTGGCGTATCTATTTTCGAAAAATTCCTTCAGTTTATACTTGAGTTCTGGAACACCATGCCACTGTGCACTTGGAATCTTAAACAACTCAACCATTAGACAAAAAATATCAAAGACCTTTAAGGAGATAATACATGAGATTGTAAATAATATTTTAGTACAGTAGGTCAACTGTACCAATCCATGTTGATTGTAATTTTGTCACTGCCCTTTATGTCTGATTCAGCCTTTAAATATCTGACTGGTTATCAAGAAAAACACAGTGATTTAGCTTTTTGGTAATGCATATTTGAACTGATTTATGAGATAAATGATTCAGATGCGAGTAGAAATTCTAACCCTATAGAGCATATGCATCTAAAATTTTATATAAAGTTTGTTTGATATGATATAAATATTGTTTTCTTGTACACCCTGTATTTAATTGGATCAATGTATACTTACCTCTTCCTTGAAATGCTGGCTAACATCTGCACAGCCAGGAAGTGACATCACAAACCTTGTGACATCATCAACGCTCCAGCGAATGGCTGAACCTCCCGTTACAGAAGAGAGGCCCGGAAGAAGTTTGGAATGTTGATCCCAGTTGAGTGGTAGATCTTTAGCAGGGTTTGGTGGCACATAGGTGGACATAAAGACTGACTGGTGAATACCTTGGTGTAGGGTTGACAATGCCTCATTCTCATCGCGATCACGTTTCTTCCTAAAATCAGGGGAGCATGTGATTGTTTTATTTCCAAGTAAAATAGCGTATTATCCTTTCAATTTTTGCTAAATGTACACAAAATACTGCCTTAGACTGGTACATAGTGCAACAAGATAACTACCTAATCACATCAAAACATCAGACCCCAAACTGAAATATCAATCTTTTTCACCTCTCAGTCTACATCCCCTACACACAGTAGCTTTGTCTTATGTCACTAAGTTAAAATAAACATATCAGTTTTATCCCTCGCACTCCACCAAATGAAATTCTTTATATTAAGTTTAACTTTGTAGTTACACTCGTGTTTTGAATTTCAGTAGACTATACAATGAGACTATATTTCAGTAGACTACAATGAGACTATATTTTAGTGGACTATACAATGAGACAAAATTTCAGTAGACTATACAATGAGACTATATTTCAGTAGACTATACAATGAACATATGGTGCCTTCCATATACAATTGGTATTAGTCCAGGCTCATGTATTTCCTTTAGGCCTATAAAAACATGGTTGAATAAAGAGGATACTTGATTAGTGAAAACGCAGATTGAATTGTGCGCTATAAGGACTGATGGATTTCATTTACAGAACAAACTTGCATGTTTATCCCAGATAATCTACTTACTTTTTCCTCCCTCGTTTTTTCGGTATTTTTACTGGTTCAATTGGTTTAAGATCCTCAGGACTAGATCTGGCATCTCCATTCATATACTGATACATCAACAACTTTTCCTTGTTCTGTGGTGCTATCGGGCACCCTGATAGTTTATGGTGTGCTGTAAATCGACCCGTCACATGACCCTCACCATTGCACCCTGATGTTGGACATTTTCTGCAAACACAATCATAATTATTTTAAGTATTACATATGCAATTTCACTCACTAGGTTTTGTTTCTTAGTTGTCGAAGGGTGAAAATACATTACTAATTAAGTACAATTGCTTTTTTAGCTAGTTTCATTCAAGGACTAACTATAAGTTGGCAGTTTTAGAAGGGTATGTCTATATGCATGTAGCTGATTTATCTTAACAAAATAAAATATACAATGTACTCGTATATGTTGTCAGATATAATCGCAAAACGGGCCAGTTTGAGTAAGGAAAATGAGATGTACATAATCTGTAATGGGTTTTAACCACATTATATTCATAGTTCAGAGGTGGCTGTTTTCCTTTACTTATTTGGACACACAAGAAATAAAGAGACTCAAACTCTGTTGTCTTACTGGATACATGTATAACCCGCAAAATTGGTCATGTCAGATCCAGCCAGAACGGGCAAGTAACCCTTGCTGCTTTCAATCCCATTGCATGGGTTATTACTCTGTACTGGAGAATGACTGTGTAAAACTCCAGTCTCCTCCTTGGTGAGAATATCCTCTGCGGCATTATTCTCACACAGTTTGGGTAGAGTAGCATTCCACTTGTTCACATCATACGTATTCACTTTGGCACTACCCTTTCTTATGGCCTTGAACAGAATGTTATTTCTGGTCTGGAAACTACTCAGCCATCCATTTGAACCCTTGAAGTCATTCAGTCCCATATCTTTGGCAATAAGTCGTGCTTTTTCTTTGATTAGAGGACCAGATATCGGAATGTTTTTACTCCTGGCTGCAACGAACCATTTTAGAACAGCGACATTAAGGTCATCATTTCCCGATTTCAATCTCCGGCGCTCAGGATTCCAATTTTCTGATTCACTTGCATTCAAAATGTCTCGCTTCTGCTTCAGAGTTCTATTGATAGTTCCAAGTGATACACCATACGTGAATGCTAACTTACGCTGTGATATCTTGGTTTTAGAAAGTCTGATGACCTCAATTTTTTCTCCAAATGTAAGAAACCTTCGTTTGAGTTCGGGAGAACCCATCCTTCTGATCTGGTACTTGCAAATGTTACTTTTGTGATCTAAAATACTTTAGGTGTTATCTTGCCTTGGAGAAAGAAGTAAAAATTCTAAAGACTAAAAATACTAAAACACTCTTTAGTAGAAATCCAGGTGTTGTCTCATTGAAGGAAGTTAAAATACTAAAGAGTAAAAATACAAGCACACTATTCTCTTACATACGCATTCCTAATTAACCATATCTATCCAATATAGCTAATCAAGAGTGATCGATATAACACATATTGCCTTATTATAAGTTTATTGGATTATTATTAGGTGTTTATTAGGTCAACTTCCAAAAATCGACTAAGACCAAAAGAGTAGTTTATGCCTAATTAGGATGTTGTTAGAAGGATTTACAATAATGTGTTACTCATAATAATACCACAATTGGCCAAATTAACCAATTAATGATTCATGTTCAAAAATCAGGCTTTTACAAAAACAACCTTAAGATGTTATTCAATTCACTTTATTCCTTAATGACACAATTATACAAAGTACATAGTGCTAACAGGTCAGGTGACATAGATCTTAATAGTCACAAATGAAGCATTTATTCCCTCTTCAATACAAAGAATGTGAAGTGCTTGATGCAAATTTGAATGTGAAGTGCTTGATGCAAATTTGAATGTGAAGTGCTTGATGCAAATTTGAATGTGAAGTGCTTGATGCAAATTTGAATGTGAAGTGCTTGATGCAAATTTGAATGTGAAGTGCTTGATTCAAATTTGAATGTGGTGTGCTTGATGCAAATTTGAATGTGAAGTGCTTGATGCAAATTTGAATGTGGTGTGCTTGATGCAAATGTGAAGTGCTTGATGCAAATTTGAATGTGAAGTGCTTGATGCAAATTTTAACATTTGTCTTAATACACTACCCTCTGACTATTACAGATAATTTTACAGTTTTGATACTGCTAAGATCTTTATGGATCTTTCATGGCCTCTTATGTTTAATTGAATGTGTAATGAATGTTATCAAATTTCATTTTCTGACAACATAATTCAAAATGGATATAGAGGCTAATTTAGTTTTAAATCAAAGGCTAGACAAAATCAAGATCTTGCTAAGAGTATTTTATGTAACATTGAAAATCCAGAAAACTGATGTGGCCATCAAGTCTTTATCCAGTTAAAAGATCTTCATTTCATTTCAAAGAACATAGTACGTACACAATTGTTATACTTACGCATATTTCTGGTCAGTTGGGGAGTTTGCTTCACTTTTTATTGGCCTTCCTTCATATGAATCAGTTCTCGTAGGTCCCAAACGGTCTGCCAGAATATTTTCTTTGTTCATGTTCAACGCGGAGTATGGACAACCAAAGGTACTAGGTAGAAAAAAAAACATACTGTTATTAAAGAATCTGTTTGAGACTGTGAGAAATTTTGCACTGGGTATCTCTAACTCTCTCTCACTTCTAGATGGGTCTTAACAGGGTGTGACATGAGCATCGGTCCAGTTAGTTCTGATCTGGGTAACAGATTATCGTAACATGTTACATAGCATGTGGTCTATACTTTGACTAAGGTCTAAACTCTAAATATCTCATGATGAACACTGACCTTACTGAGTATGAGACATTAAGACATCAACATGCAAAATGTCACCACCTACCATTTGTTACATACCCCACATGCCAAACACCAACTGCCACCACAAAAAAAGTCAGAAACTATAACAAGATGTCACCACTGTGGTGATGACATAACAATTGTAACTTCATGTAGGGCATTGTATAAGGAAAAGGTGAGAGGCACATTAATAACGGATATTCATTCTTATTACACAGGAATAACATTTGAAATCCTTCCAATTTTGAACAATATATGTTTCTCCTCATTTTGTGTTTTTAAACTGAAATGTCTTAAGTAAGCAGCATACCTATGGTGACCTGTGTATTTTGCACCCTTGACATGTCCCACTCCGTTACAGCCGAGTGTTGGACATTGGCCTGCTACGGCTGCACGTGGCACCTCACTAGCATCTAGTGAAAGAAATACACACAAGACATGATATTAATGGTCATGACAATTGATTAAGAAGTCTAAACTTAATGAATTCCCTGATTAAAACCTGTTTCAAATGAATACTTAATGAATTTCTACTGCAATTAAACAATACAGTGAAATCTTTTATGAGTGGAACACATCAAGAAGTGGAGCACCTCTGTTAGTGGAACACTTTAGAATCCCAAGACCAACTGACTTAATGTTAAATGAACTTCTTTAGGTTTAACACCTCCCAAGTGGAACACTTATTAGAAGTACCAAAGGTGTTCCACTTAGACAGGTTTCACTGTATTCTTAACTGGATAAAGCAAGATAATTCGTAAGTGGACTCTATTGTACTCACAGAATGGTGGTTGGAGTTGATGGCCAGTCTTACTACACCACCCACATGGGAAAACATCAACAGAATCGTCATCGACCCAGAAATCGTAATCTGGTAGCCAGCCGTCAAAATGGATCTTGATTTGGTGGCCATCTTTCTCTGCAACTCTACCAGCACGTATAAGGATAGGATTGCGTTTGTCTACTGCCTCTAATCTCATATCAACCTCCCATTCTACGGGTGGCCTCTGAAGCAAAAGCGAGTTCAATTTATTCATTTACTTGAACATAAAGGTTCACAGCAAATATGTGTACATGATATACACAGTTGAAATAGTTTTGGGTAGTCATTGAAAAATAATTGTTGTTTCAATTCAGCATCAATGATTTTCATTTTTACAAAAGTCTGTATTGTACTGTATCTAAAAAATCTATACTTTCACATGAAGGCTTTTGTAGATAAATGACAAAGTAAGTTTAAGTGAGATGTTGATTGTATCAACTATCAATGCAATATTGACTTGTAAATGGGACTGAAAATAGATAGCACAAGTAAAGTATACTGTCCAAGTTTTTTTTAATACAGAGACTGGTATCAACTCACAGGTTTAAATGCCCGTAGAGAGACGGGTGCAGACCTGGTCTGCTCCATGTATTCCTCCCAAGTGAAACCTTCAATATCTGGCCAGTCTACAACGTAAAATACAGTGTACAGTAGTTATGTTTAAGTGAAGTAAAATTTGGAAAAACATACTTCTTGTGAACTTTGAGGGTAAATTGGCAAAATCTCACTCTTAACTGAAACATTAGACTCTTGAAGAATTAGAGGACCTCCTTGATGAAATTAAAGCTAACAATGGGCCTGTATATGAATGAAATACTCACCTAATCAACCAATAAGAAGATTGTGCAAATGGAACCCTTTTTGAAAAATGGGTATCTACCAAGAGAACTAATAATAATGAATTAAGAATAAAGTTGGTGTTTTTAGGTTTACATTAAAATGACACCATCCCCCTGAATGTATAACTTACCATTTGGAGGTGACAAGGCTTTCCCATTTTCCTAAAACCACCCCTACTGGTTATAACTTACCATTTGGAGGTGACAATGCTTTTCCATTTTCCTAACACCACCCCACTAGATTTATAACTTACCATTTGGAGGTGACAAGGCTTTCCCATTTTCCTAAAACCACCCCTACTGGTTATAACTTACCATTTGGAGGTGACAATGCTTTTCCATTTTCCTAACACCACCCCACTAGATTTATAACTTACCATTTGGAGGTGACAAGGCTTTCCCATTTTCCTAAAACCGCCCCTACTGGTTATAACTTACCATTTGGAGGTGACAATGCTTTTCCATTTTCCTGACACCACCCCTACTGGTTATAACTTACCATTTGGAGGTGACAATGCTTTTCCATTTTCCTGACACCACCCTACTGGATGTATATATGGGGAGGTTGGGTCACACCAGTAGTCATAATTGTCCTCCCAGCCATCAAAATGAATGAGAATATGTTCCCCTCTCACATCAGCCACAGTAGCAACACATGTTAAGATTGTATTCTTCTTGTCAACAGCCTCCAGTTTCATCCCAGCTCTGAACCCATGTGGTGTAGCAGGCTGTAAGAGTATTTTGGAAATGTAATCATTTGTTACATGTGATGAATGGTGATGCTGCATCCTGGTCAAAATAAGACACATTGTAATAAATATTGCACTTTAAGGAGGAAAATGGCTGCCATGTAATTTATACAGCATGCCCAAAACCTAATCAGATTTTGGAAATAGTCTTCTCTTGCATCAGTCGAAATTTCAAGTTGAACAGATAAGCAGTTTAAATGGACCTTTGATCCCACCACATAAATGACACCACAAAATGAATTCAATTAAAATTTGTGGTTACGTCCATGTATACTGATATATCACCACTTTTTGGAAGAAGCACAATTTTCAGCAATATTACCAATGAGCAACATGTTTTACACACAATATAAAGAGGCTCACTCATTTCAAAGTTGAATGTATATTTCAACATTATGAAAATGTACTCACTGGTGTAGAGTATGTTACGCTGAAGAGGTTATTTGGTGCTGTAACACCCCTAGACAGTTTGATATAATTTGACCATTCAAATGTCTCTACAGTATACCCTGAAACATATAATTCTATTATAAATCACAAGACAAATCCCGACATTGAATAACAGTTGAATATATTCATTATACTTGGAGATAATAATTAAATACACTCGAACGGAAAAAATAAATCTCATTATTTTATAAATCAAGTGCAAGCCTAAACTCAATTCTTAATAGCTATTATGCAGTGTACTATGTACTATGTACTATGTCGCATGACCTTGACTTATTATGTCCTTTTGTTCTTTGTATATTCAAAATGAAGCCAAGAAGCAAAGTTGAATTCTTAGTCATATTTTCCAAACATCTTCAAGGGATGTAAAATATGTAACACCTTTTTAAATGCAAGCCTTGTATTTATAAAACTGAAAACTGGACCACCATTTATGTCAGTTATGGTCTTCCTACAATATTTTTAACAACTAAGAAATGATAACAAAGTATAAGTATTTCAGACTTCAGTACTTTTACTGAAAATAAATTCATTGTAAAGTTATCTCATGTAATAAGGTCAGACCTCATTTGGACCTCGCTTGAAAAATATTGCGTTGAAATCGCATCAGTTTATCCTCCAAAACATGAAGCATTTTAATACTACTATGTGTAAGCAAAATTTGTACAGTAATTAAAAAACATGCCTACAGAATATATGTATATCTATATGTATGTACATGTACCTTACATGCACATATGTCATATCTATTCACCAACAGAAGCCACTGCCATACTAAATGCAAGTTATAAAGCTTTGGACCCTTAAGGATTAATTGTAAGTTTAGCCAAGGACTTCAAGATTATTGTTTTCTATGTCTTCATCTGAACATGGACAAACCTTTTTTGCCTAATTTAGGATTTAAGGTTTTGACATCAATTCAATTTATCTTATACTTATTTTAGAGTAAAAACAAGTTCACCAAAAATTGGGCAGTTAAACTTACAATTAACCTATTTTCCCTTACAGTATGAGCCTTAGTTATTTATATAAATAGGACATCAACATTTTCATGATATCCTGCAATACAGTAATCAAGGAAGGGAGAGAATGTACACCATCATTGGATGTCCCCCAGGGATCTATCCACCATTCTACATGGCCCTTATTGGGCATAATGGCCACTGTTTAGACCAAACTATAGTATTAACCAACAATAGAGAGGGGAAAGTAATCCCAAGGAGCTCCATCAGAAACACATTAATATTAAAAATTAAACATAATTGTGCACATTATTGTCATGCATTATCTTTGCATTCCATTTCACCAAATTAAGCATATTACGCCAAATATTGCAAACTTACCACAGCCTTTTGGTGTCATAAAGTAAAGAACAGTACATTCATGAGGTAGACATGGGAAACAGTTGTCATAATTCATTTAATTAATTAATATAAATATAAATTAAAGAGAGAATCAGATCTAGCGAGCGAGCTTAACAGAATTGTTTCAATTTTAGAATACTTTTTGCTTATATTATTCCTTGTCATGTCTGTTTTCTGAAAAAATCCCCAAAGATGCCGTAGCCAGCTTTTGGTAAGGGGGGTGGGGCAATTTTGTCATGTGAAACTGATTCTGCCTTTAACGTAATTAAATGTTATATACATTTCACAATGCTAGATTCAGAATTTACCTACAAATAACTCACACATAAAACACACCAATCAAAATCATTTCAAAATAACTTACCTTTTGGAGGTTGTAAAGTTTTGCCGTTTTCTTCTGCCCAACCAACGGGAAATATTTCCTCAGAAGAGGCACATACCCAGAAGTCATAGCACTCGCTGTAGCCATCAAAATGGAGACGCACTCTATATCCCATAATTTCTGCCACTGTGACAACACAATAAAGTGATGGGTGTTTCGGATCTATTGCTTCTAGTTTCATTCCAACTTTGAAACCATTTTTATTTGTAGGAATGCCCTGGAATTTATATCAAATAGTTGTTACACATATATTGGTGTAGCATACATTTTTGCTTCAATACATAAATCTAAGCAAAGGCAAAATCCCCCAAATTCCAACCAACGCAGAAAAATCTTTCCAACTACCCTCATCTTGAAACAAGCAGAAATTAACATAAGAAAAGTCAACTGCAGCAAGACATACTATTCTAGTACCTGTGCATATAACTTATGAGGAGCTGCAACAGCATTGCTCTGCTCTAAATACTTCTCCCAAGTCCACTTCTTGTCTTTTTTACCTGAAATATTTCATTTCTATTTATAATAAAGTGACATCTTTTCAACTCTAAAGATTTTCCTCTATTCATTTTACAAATTACCGTTACTGTCTTAGTGAACATCTCCTGCTATTGAACACCTGTCCCTAGTAGACACCCTTCCTCCACATGCGCATACAACATGTATACTGACTTCTGAACACCTACCTACACTAAACAAACACTGACAAAAATACACACAGGTTTTACTAATATAGATTTTTGTATGTTATTTGATTTTCCTAATCAACTGCAGTGGTGTCTCTCACCTGGTTTCTTTTCATACACCGCATCATCACTAAATCTGGCCATCTTGCTATCTCTGACTTCTCCTTCACTTGTGGGCTTGCGTTTCTTTTTAGGTGGTCTCCCAACTTGTCCAGGAACTCTCTCTGGTTTAACAGCCGTAGTGTGCTTCACTTTGGCCTCAACCTTCGCTTGCACACTCATCCTGACATTAACAAAACCATTAGTTATATTACTAAATGTTAGATAAAGGTATAATCAAGTTAAAGGAGGAGGGTCAAAATTGGATTTCTAAACATGACATTAACTCAAAATGACAAAATGTTAGCATCTGGTTGCAGCAAGGCATTGACATACAAAATGTCACCACCTGTCATTTGTTACAGATCCCAGTTCTTATAGACACCAAATGCCGAACACCAACTACCACCATTGGAGATATATTACCACTTGTTGATGGTGACACCATAAAAAGTAACCCTTTGTTACAGATGCTGAATGCATGATCAACTTCTTGATTGTGACATAAAAAAAATATTACAATATCTTACATTAGCTTCATTGTCTTATTGAAGCAAGGAATCATCAATATTGCATTCATTTATGACATCACTAAAGACAGTCAAACGTAAGTGAATGGAGATCTTTTTTGATACAAATATATCAACTATTAATACCTATGAAGACACGTGCAACATTTTTAATATCATTTTAGCACCATTTACTCGTACCTGTATTTGTCATAAATAAAGATTTCTGGAGATTTTTTAAACATTTCCCTTCTATAAAGTCCAAAACAACTGAGCCCTAGAACTACATTTAAGGCACAAGGTATAAAACCTTTTACTTACTTGTTAGCATGAACTCCAACACATGATTGGCTACAGAATCTGCCTGATCTGCAAAACTCACTTGCGACTCCATACATGCCACAGTTTTCGCATCGACAGATATCATCACTCTGTATGTGTTCTAACTCTTTCAATGTAGCCACCTTGGACCCTAGAGAAGAATTTTGCCAATTAAGTAATCAATGAATAAGCAGTAAAATTATAGAGACAATTAAAAGAATCAAAAGTATTATAACGTTTGTGTGTGTTTATCAAAAACTAATGTGTGCTTTAGCGCTCCATCAGGCCTGTTACAGTTCATTAGGTGTAGCTTCATATGTTCGATATCTTATCACAGGTAACTAAATAAATTTACATTCATGTTTGATACTAAACTCAGTACAAGTTGATCAGAGGGTTTTAAATAAGTGCCCCCTCCCTCTCCAGCTAAAACCAAAATGCATGGTACCAAGTGTGATATATCATTGGAAGGATCACCCAAAGTTATGTTGATTGGCATATCTGATACCTGACAATCAATCTAACAAATAGTCTAGATGCAAGTAGAAATAATCTTGATTTACATCATGAAATATTCAATTTAAGTGCAACGCTCCATTTAGTTTTTAGGGCACTGGCCTAGAGGACATGAGTCACTTAGGTTTGATCTGGGCCAGGCCCATTTTTTCAGCATTGTGTAGGAAAATAATATGACAACTTATACAATGACTATAATTCAATTTTAACTAGTTTGTTCGCAGTTTTTTGACCACCTTGGTTCTGAGATATCTTATACAAGAGATGGTCTCAAAGAAAACTGACCTGATTCTTGTTTGACAGTCACCGTACCATTGTCATTTGAAACTGGTAGTTGTGCACTGCCTTGGCTCTTTTCTAAAACCAAAGTGCAACAAGGTTAATTAACTAGAACCTCTCAATGTAGTGTATGAAATTGACTTACATTTTTTCACTTTTTTGAAACTTCAATTTTACACATATTCAAATATCACATTTAACACTTGAACCACTTGGCATGGTACTCTTAGCTTAGTTCCCCTTGCTAATTTATGAGTCAATCAATATTTCATGTTGTACTACAGAGAATATACCTTCTACTTTATCTGAAGTGTCATCCTTTGAAAGGTCATCTAAATCTCCAAATAGGTCATCCGTGATCATTTCCATCACTCCAAATTCATTCATGCGAAACTGCAATAAAATAAACGAGATACAGTAAAACCTGTCTAAGTGGAACACCTTTGGTTCCTCTAAAAAGTGTTCCACTTGGAATGCGTTCCACTTATAGAGGTTCATTTAACATTAAGTCAGTTGGTCTTAGGATTATAAAGTGTTCCACTTACAGAGGCGTTCCATCTTCCATCAGGTTTTACATGTATTTCTAATTTGCTGATTTATTATATATGAACAATAATGTCCATAATCCACATATACACCGGATTTATGACAAGGTAAATTTACAAAGGCATAATAAATGTATAATTTATTTACAATATAACATCAGTTAAGAGTCAATGAGAGATTGACATGTATGTATACTATAGAATTACTTAGTTAAAGCAATACATAATGGTTGTATTTTATATGAAAGAAACTGACAATGTTACTGTAATCACCATATCTGGATATCTAAAGAAAAATGTAGACAAAGGTTCATGGTATATCTTGACTTTCGATGCTACACTACACTATAATATCAAAATAACATAGTAATATCATTAACATGCAAAATGTCACAACCTGCCATTTGTTACAAATGCTGGATGCCGAACACCATCCATAAAAAAATGGATATTATAACAGTAGGTCACCATTTGTGGTGGTAACATAAGTTTCAGTATGTACAAAATGACATACATCCAATTACATATAACCTTTACCAAGTTCATTTTCTACTGTATTTGTCAACTTATCTTTTGAAGACATCCACCTTTTAAATGCTCTTTCCGGTTGTTCTTTATCAATACTGTATATATATTAATTTTATACCTTGAGGTCACTTCCAGGCAAGGTTCCTATCCCATTGTTCCATTCTAGGGCCTGGGTGGCATCAAAATCTTCTTTTGACAGGTCAATACCCTTTTCCTCTGATGTATGCTCCTCAATGGGTTCAGCTTTCACAGTGTCATCTGATCTTATGGTAGTATCTGATGTATTACTTTCATCTGAAAAATCATTACAAATGACTTAAAATTGAGTTATAAATTATGTAGGTTCATATTTCCTTCCTCATATCGTCATGGCAAGTAATTATTATACCATATCACTTTCAAGTTATTTCTTTTCACTATATAAATGAAATACAGGTAACAGAATTTTAACCAATCAGATATGAGTTTTTTCCTTGTGACCGCGACATCACCACAGCCACTTTAGAGTGACTTTTAAAACCAGCATTGAAGATTAGTTATTGTGCAATTGTTCTTTTCATCATGTAATGAATATGACTGAATACCCTTTATTTCTGCCATTAGGATATTATGATTATCTTCAATTTGTTGTTTCATATCCCCCGTCTTTACATCATCTTGACCCATTGGTTCGAGAGTTGGTGGGCCTTCACTGACAGCATCAGTTGGGGCCCTAATGGTAGCAGCAGTTTGGGCCTCAGTTGGGATAGTTGGAGCTCCATCATTAGTAACTTCCACACCTGGAATATCATCATTTTTTATTTATCAACTGAAACAGATAATTTTTTTTTTTTTTATTTGACCTTGGAAACATGACAATGACCTAGATTTTTGAAACACACATATCATATACAGATTAATAATGTAAAGAGAAAAATTGAAAATCAGATGAGATTTAAAATATCCTTAATATTTACCCAAATACTTTCAGAATATTTTTTTTATTTTAAAAAGTACTGGACGAAAAAGGTGACCAAAATTGTCAGGGATTTAAAAATCTATCTCCGCCAAAATTAACTACAGGTACAGTATATACATTTGTCGCTCAAAAAGACACCCCTAACTATCCGAATAAAGTTAATTATCCAATATCAAACATTGCATTGATCCCTTATCATGATATTACAATTCAATTGGATCTTGAGAAAATGAATCAAAGAGTTTGTCTCTTCATGTTTCATAACTCATTTTTGAATCACTGCTAGTTTCAAATCAGCAGCTACTTTTGAGGTCATTGAGGTTTATCAGTATCGAAACTAAATATTTATTTCTCCTATATTTAGAGCCTAGTAGTCAATGTAATAGCTCTAACCCTCAGGGTAACCTACCTACAATAGTATGATATAGCATTCTGATGCTGATCACATTATCTGACTTAATATAAGAAGGAAAGAGATACCATGGTTAATCAATGATGTGTCATATACCATTAAACAAATGAGCTTTGCTCAACTATATTACTGTGTGTAATTGTAACTGTGTTTTTTATTCCACGACTAACGCAACAAACTTTTTTGGGTTGTTGAGTTGGCAGAGAGGGCTTGAGCACCAGCAGGTTAACGCTAGGCTTATAGATGCTGTAACCACGAGGTTGCGAGTTCGAAACGCGTGTGCTCCTTGTGTTTATCCATTTACTAAGTAAATGTAGTAGCTTAGTTTTCATCTGATCAGTATTACATGCACATCATGCCTGTAGCCCCCCCCCCTCCCTGGACAAAATTTTTTTCAAAATCATGCAGTTTTTCACCATTTTGAGCATTTCTCAAGTGATTTTAGCCATATTTGGGCCAAAATTGTCAGATGTGAACCTCCCCCTGGTAATTTTTGAAAACTGGCAAATCCTGGCTACTGGCCTGCACATGTATACATACCTTTCAGATCCAGTGCAATGCTTTCCCCTGTTGATTCAGTTTCCTTTTCTGTGTTACTTCCCTCAACATTTGTAGCTTCATCTGTTTTTGCCTTTGCTGTTTCTTTCTCACCTATAATAGATGAACCTGTAAGACTCCAATATAATAGTTCATATTATTATAGTACTCCGCACATAAAGGAGCACCGGAAGTACCACAACTTGAACATATTTTAAACAGTCATAATGTGACTGTTTTCTGAGGATTAAAACAGGTGCTTATGTTAGGCTAATGCATTAACAGGAAAAGTACACATAGTCCTCATATTTTCAATGTGTTGCGTTTTGAGGCACAGTTATCCTCTTTACAGGAAAAATGCATTCCTTCGATCAGGGGTTTTAAAGATATCAATTATGGGTGACCGAAATTTAGCTGACAACAATGGATCTCATGAGTTTTCCCTCTTGGAAAATAACATGGGAAATATTGTTTTCCACTTTAATTCCAAAGCATTTGCATTTCTCCGAGAGGATAACTATGTGTCCAAACACAACAATGAAGTCATATTGATGCATCAAACATTGAAAAACAGGCGTAGAAAGGACTGAAACTGGTAACTGCCTACTGGTAACTACCTAGTGGCAGGTTTTTAGACCTTTGAATAATAATAAGCAGTTTTCCCAAATTTTGAGGACACAATTGATGCCATTGTGGCACATCCAGACAGATGCATGAATACACATCCATCAAGACAAGAAGATGAAAATATAGCACTTTAAAAAGTGTGATAGTTGAAATAGAAATAATCTTGCATCATGATATCCATGTAAACTTAAAATCAAAAGTAAAACATTTAGCGAATAAAACCTATTGATGCATTTCTTGGTTAATTTATAGATTGACAATATCATGAACTTTCCTTTACATGTAAATGGAGACAACAAAGGGTACTTACCATCAGGTTTCACTTCATCTGTTATTTTTTCCTTATTCTCTTCAGATTTTTCAATGTTGTCTGGGCTTGAGCTGCAGCTGTCTTTGCTCTGTTTGTTAATGCCACCTGATGCATCAGATGTTGAAGGATCATTAGATGACTCGTTTTTGTCAGGCTTTTCTAATTCTGTAGATGTGCCTCCAGAGTCTGATACACCCTTAGGTTCCTCTTCAGTCTCGTTCCCATTTGTCTTTTCTTCAAGTGGTGGCTTCTTTTCCTCACCATCAACAGCCTTATTTACACCTGCTGGGTCACTGTTTTCAGTCATTGTATCTTTAATATCAGTTACAGAGTCCATGATTTACAGTAAGATATTCGTGTAGTATCCCAGTGTGAGTATATTGTGGGGGGGTTTATGACTTGTTCAATATTTCATCATGCACAACGCCGATCAACTCTGAAAGAAAATATGATAATAGAGGGTTGTTAATCTCTGATTGGTATTTTTTGGTACAAATAGAGGATATCCTATGATTTATGAGTGATATGATTTTTATCCACGAGTTGATATGATATCTGCACGAGCGAGCGTAGCAAGAGAGTACAGATATCAATATCCATGAGTGGATTAAAATCATATCACGAGTCCCATTTTCTAATCAAGTATTGGACTTTCCGATAGAGTTGCCATAGCTACCTGAAATATATGTTCTGTTTCATTCAAAATTGGAAATATTCCATAAGACATCTATGGAGGAGTCAATAAGTTTGGCCATCAAAATTTTGTGAGAACATAACTTTATTATCATAAAAAATTATAGTTGCAGTTTGGTTGTATGGGTTTATGTTCAAGTTCATCAAAAAGATGTATAGAATCAACAGTTTAAAAATATGTTTTGTGGTCTCGCTTCAAAAATCACATTTATATTTGGACTATTTACACACAATTGGTGAAATTATGTGCAAAGTGGCATTAAATATCAGGTCATCTCTTGCTCTATTTAAGCATAATGCTTTATGCCTTAATATATTTAGCATTTAGCTTGAATTACAAAAACTGAATTGCAAAGATTGTTCTAAATTTATATCATCTCCACTACTTAATAATAATATAATAAGTGAAACCATTAGGTTAATACACAATAACACTTGATTTTTAAAAAAAGAATATGTCTCTGATAGGGATTTAAAAGATTTAAAAAAGGTTTTTGGTGAAAACAATTACAGCCTGACTAATCCTATTAAGAAAACAGCATGGAGAATGTTAGTTTTCAATTCATTCGAATTGATTAAATTTTTCCATGAATCATATTTCAAAACTCATTTAACTCGAGATTTTTTTATTTTTAATGTTTAATGGAAACTCCATTAAACATTAAAAATAAAAAAAAACAGTTTGCTACTATGTTGAAACTTGAACTAAGTTGGGTGATGATGTGTTGATAGATCCTTCATTATCTAGAAACCCCAATTGACTTTAACATCTTTGTACATGTACTTTTCCTGGAGATAATGAATTAGCCTTAAAAATACACCTGATCATTAGAAAATACCTATAACCCCAAGATATAGTCTGCATTATTTTGCAAACTTACTTGTTACATGCCACAGAACGGGGAATTATGAAGGCTTTCACCATTAGCAGGGTTTTCATTAGCAGCAGGCAACAGGCGATTTTCACTGGTTGTATTCACAAAATGGCCTGTTCACAACCTTTATTATTTGAAATCACAGAACATTTCGAATCCTATCTGGATCCTTTATCAACTGTAATAAAACTGAATTGAATTTGGGATGAATTTTTGGGGAATCAATATGACGTATTATCGGTTTTATCTAATTGTTTTGTGGTGCTTCAATTCAATTTTATTACAGTTGATAAAGGCACGCCTTACCATCGCGTAAGCAGGCGTCACCGTACAGCGTCAAAAAATAGCGGAGTACAGTTTTCTGTACGGTAACGCAAATTAACTGCTTTGAAGCAAAAACTATGACAAGGGTTTAAAAAAATTAATTTGATGAAAACTAATACGATTTCATGTGAAATAAAAACAGCATTCTCTTAGAAATGGTTTTAACTTTCTGATTATGATAAACGTTTTACGAGCACTGTTCGGATTTTTTCTGAGTGAATCGGCCCACATAATCGACCAGAGTGAAAAAAGGATTTTTTTTACATTTTGTTTGGTTATTATTTTCCCTACCGTCTGAGAGTATGGATTATTTTTATGAGAATATGTATTTGTTACTTACACATTTTAGAACGGGCGAAGATTCAGCAAACAACCATTTATTATGTATATTCAAAAAAGATCAAATTTGTACGGTGACGCACCAGCTGTACGGTGACGCTATGCTTTGATGAACTAAATGAGACTAAGATTGTATGAAATGGAAACTCTGGAGTATGATCATTTGTTCATATATAGTGCATGGGCGCTACAGGTCAACGATATCTTCCACAGCTTAATGGAAGGTTACTGGAAATGTATGATACGGTAAGCCTAAAGATCATGAAACCAAAAACTCTCTTGTTGCTATATGTTATTGATGTTTTAAAACAAGGGATGTCACAAGTAAATCTCATCTTGCACGTGTGACTTTTTAGGATGAAAGATGCAATATCTTGCATGGGGTGAAGACGGCTGTGTAGGCTATCTTTGTTAGTCATATGAGAAAAGCCTGGTTTAGTTCAAATGATACCAAAGCATTACGTCAACTTTCAAATAGTTAATTCCATGAAAACTAAAAATATCGAAATTAATACTTCCTGTCCGCCATCTTAAATGCGAAGGTGACGGCTGTAACATTCGCTTGATACTCACCAGTGATAATATACATGTAGATCTGACGCTTCTTTATCTCTTGTTCGAACAGTAAGCCTAGAGCACTTCATAAAATCTAAGGAAGCGTCACCGTACAGCTGATGCGTCACCGTACAGTTCTGATCTTTTTTAAATAAATACACTGAATGATTATTTGCCGAATATTCATCTGTTCTAAAATGTGTAGATAACAAATACATATTCTCATAAAAATAATCCATATTCTCAGACGACAGGGAAAATAATAACCAAACGAAAAGTGAAAAAAACACCATTTTTCTCTCGAGTCGATTATGTGGGCCGATCCAGTCAGAAAAAATCCGAGCAGTGCTCGAAAAACTTTTATCATAATTAGAAAGTTAAAACCATTCCTAAGAGAATGCTGTTTTCATTACACCCGAAATCGTATTTATTTTCATCTAATTAATTTTTTTAAAACCCTCATTATAGTTTTTGCTTCAACTCAGTTAATTACCGTCACCGTACAGAAAACTGTACTACTGGATTTTTTGACGCTGTACGGTGACGCCTGCTTACGCGATGGTTAGGCGTGAAAGGATCAAAATAGGATTTGAAACATTCTGAGATTTCAAATAAAATAAGTTTTTTATTTTTGTTTTTTTATTTTTTTTTTCCATATATTTATTCTTCATACGTAATACAGCAAATTCTACTCAGAAAAGCTTGACAAGCTAAAAGGATCATCTTGTCTAAAAAGTGAGAAATGTTAAGTGAAGTCGATTTAATTTAATTGCTCAACACCACTGGAAATAAAATAAGTTGTGAATAAAAGAAAACTGATTTTGTATGTCAAAATCACATATTAAGTTCCCAAAAAGCTAAGTGACTGGAAATAGCGATGATATGTCAAATATCATTAGGCTCATTATATGAGCCAATACAATTTTATTTAAGGATTACATTTATTTAGATAAATTAGATAATGTCATTGCAGCATGTGTCATAAATAATGCAAATGTTATATCTTTTATGTCAACATAACCAATTATTGATTGAGTCTGCTACTTAGTGTTAAAGGAATTGACAATAATTTTAAAATTACCTCCTGTTCAAGTTGCAATCATTTTTATAGATTACATTGATAGATTTAATATCATTGAATATGGTATTGCTTGTTGAGAACCACACAACATTACCATTTATCATTTATTTGAGATTTAAGCAGGGGTCCATTTTTTAAAGAAATAATCATTTTAAAAGATTTCTTGTAAATAGATAATAAATTAGTGCAAAAAGTATGAATTATTATATATCAAGAGCATAATGTAAAATTTCAATTGAAAAGTTAGATCAAAATGGAATCCAAGTTCACAGTGGGGGGTATACCTCATCAAACACTGTATAATTTTTTTTAAACTTATTGTTACAGCCTTATGTTTTTAATTTGCTTTTGCTAGTTAGGATTATATCATTGACCATTCGTGAATTTTTGTGCACCATACAAGGTTACAGAACTTCATTTATGAACGATTTCAGCAGGGGTCTATTTTACGAAAATTAAATATTTTTCCGGATAGTTCTTAGATGGAAAGCTAGTACATTGTTACGATTAAATTACATCATTAAGGTGTATAAATCATGAAAACAGGTTTCATCCTGATGTCTACAACCTAATTCGTACGAGGCCATGTCACAAATGGGGGGGGGGACATTGACCTCCACTTGGGGATCTTTATTACTCATATGATTTCAATATTACAATAATGTCGGTATCATTATAAACAGGCACTAAATAAGTGTAGAGTATTATAAATACGTTGACAGCAAGAAGATTTATACAACTGAAACTGTAAAACGAGATAATATTTGGGCTCTAAAATCACAATGATTGGTATAACTAATCAAATGTTTACTTTTAAGGTTATTATCATATCCTAGCAATCTAAATTGTTTTAAATAGTTATAATTGAATTATTTGCAGTTTCTGAATTTTTCGAATATCTTAAAATGGTTCAGATTTTCATTTATTGAAGATTTAATTCAAGTCTAATTCAAAAAGATGAACATTTTTGTGGATAGTACCCAGATCAATTACTATTATTACCACCTTGCCGGGAGTGTTATAGGGGTATTAGTGCTAGTTTAGAAGGCATTTATGTTACTTTATTGATCTGAGCAATATGTGACGTCATAGTGGCGGGCCATAGTTGCGGGCCAATTATGCATTAACGCCCGGCAATTTTCCCCGGGAAATGACATATCTTTCAATGCATATAATTTTTGCTATTTCAGCTCTGGGCATTAACTGTGGTAATACTAATAACCTAATTTCTGCGGGCAATATTAAACAAATACTGGATGATCAGGAGCTTGATATGGCAGAATACCTATTCGAGAAAAAAATATTGGGCGAGGCGGCATTTATTAATTTCAATATAGAGCGTTTGGGTTCTAGCATTGCCTCATGGGATATTCTATTTTCTACTAAATAAAATAATCTATTACTAAAGTTATGTGCTTGCAGAGATAGCCTGTATTGCAAAAATCATATATCCTTTCACCCCACATCATATCATATGCTTTATTGATGTTAAAATCTAATTTTATAAATAGCGGGAATAAATTCTTAATTCATCTTAGATTATAATTTAAATGCAAAAGCCGATTCATAAGTAGATAA